AGACTGAGCAGAGGAACAAAACAAGGAGGGAGTCCTGTGGTTCTTTTGGGCAAAGGAGTTAGGCAGCAGGAAGAGCTAAGGCAGGGATGGTAAATTAGGACCTTACTTAAAATAATCAAGGAAGAGCAAGAAGATAATTTTGTCAGCTATAAATCGGAGACAGAAACAGAGTACTGAGCCATGGCATTGTTGTGAAATATATGTAAAACCCTTAGAACAGTACCTTGTAATAGGTCATGCATAATTGATGTTAGACTATACTTATTATTGTTAACATTATTACCCCGCCACTTGCATTAAAGGGGATTCTCTGAAGGTTTAGGAATAATTTATTCCCTTTAAAAAGCACTTGCTTAAGAAAGTGTGATACTTTACTATCAGATGGAGGCAGAGCTCTGGCACTTGCCTAATTAAGCATTCAAAACACCTGCATAATTATTTTATTCAGGTTCAAATGAACTTGAAAAATGTTTCCTTGGCCAAGAAATTTTACTCTCAAACGATTGTGTTTTTTTTTTTTTCTTAAAATGCAAGCTGTTCAAGGTATATAATCAGAAGTCAAATATTTCTCAAAGTAGAGCAGACCATAATTTTGGACAAAATTGAAAAAAATGTTACCATAAAGAGAATTACTCCAATTTTATTGAAAAAAATCTTTTCATTAGCCCCATTTAATTGTGTTCTTTGAAATTCTTTCAACACATAAAACTACTACAATAAAATTAAAACATTTTGAGGAAAGGACATTACTTTTTTAATCTCAGTGCACAAGTTTTATTTAGGTGTTCCTATATAATAGGTGCTCAATAAATCTGGGTAATGGATGATTGTGAAGACCATGTCACTTACATCTATTTTAATTGAAAGAACTTGAAATAACAAGATGTTTTAATTCAACAGACTTGAAATAATTTTAAAAGACAAAATGTTAATGTTATATTCAAGTAATAAAAAAAAGAATCAAAGTTTTATATAAAACTACTTGTTTAAAACAGTTTCTGACATGGTTGACATAATCTCCAAATACAATGTCTGTGGGCTTCAGATGAATTTTTGCCCCAGGAAACTGTGATATTTCAATGGAATGATTTTCTATTGTTGAATGGGAAATAGGAAGGAGATAGGAGTTAGCAGTTTAAGTCCAAGTACAAGATCTGAACATGACTAGGACAAACAAGGGAAAATTTTTTGCCTACAAAATAATATTTTTTATAGGCATTAAGACACCTCCCAGGCTAAAGTTATTGTGTTGGAAATATCATAGCATAAAAATCACACGAGAGAAGTCTGAAAATCATGTCCAAGGACAAGCAATAAAAAGAAATCCTTCTTCCTCCACTTCATAAGTTGTTTCCTGTTTGTTTGTTTGTTTTTTGTTTTGTTGTTGTTGTTTCCAATTTGAAGATTGGAAAAATCTTGAAGTGTTTGCTGTTTATGTGCAAGAGCATGGGCAAACATAGGTGGGAGTACATGGGTGTAATATGTATGTATTTTGCCTCTGAGTATATCTGTGAAATTAATTGAAAACAAAGATCAAGTTTTGAAAATTTCCTAGGATATAATGAAATTCACAAACAGGATAAATAAGGGATCAGAAACACAATATTAGAAAATGTTTAATCCCATAAAGTCTATATCAAACAAGTTTCAAGGAAGAAAGCTTTTCCCTACACTAGAAGGTGTTTTAATTTTTTAATATGAGTTTTACGTTAGAATAAGGAACATCTAGTAATCAATATTCAGAATTCAACCTTCAGCTTGATATACAAACACAAAGAAAAAAAGTAAATCTAATTGAAGGAAATAAAAAGAAAGGGGAAGATACAGCAAAATCCTCTTTGAAAAATTTAATTTGAAGACTGAGGAGATGAAAATCTAAGAAAAACTGGTTGAGGTTGACTAAACAAATTATATACATATATACAGATATACATATGTATATATATAATAGTGTATCTAAAAGGACAAAAACCCACCAAATTAGGATATAAGAAACTTACCAATGTTCAAGGTCAATACCAATAAAAGAGAAAGATCAAAGAACAATTACAACATGCTGAAAATATCAAGAGGTTTAATTTGTAATCATCCTAGGGTTATTAGACTTAGTTTGTTGAGGCCATGTCAAATGTTTTGCAATCTCATGAAAAAAAAATTAAAAATTAATGGGAAAGAAAGTTGTGAAAAGAAAATTTTGAACTCTACCAAAAATGCTTTTAAGCAAGACTTAAAACTTTAAAATATATTATCACTTTGCCATTTTTCAAAATTAGACATTCTTCCTCAAGATTAATACTTGTCTATGTTGTGTTGAACTGCATCTAGGTAGGAAGATTCCCTAAGCACTTAAACACAATCATCTTAAGCCTAAAAAGATTAGAAAAATCTCTAAATTTTATTTATTTTTCATCCTTGAGTATATTTTAGAATTTTATAAAATTGATTTTTTTTCTTTGAAATAGATTAGTTCTACATTATTCAAGCTATAATAGCCTACAATTATTATTTCTTTGGTCTGAATAAAGATACAAGTTGTCAGTGAATATGTATTTTCAAGAAATATCTTCTGTGGGCTCAAATGGTGCTATAAATTGTCAATGAATGTAACATAAAAGTGATATCAGTTTTTTTTCTATATATTACAATGAAAATAAGTTATTTATATTACAAATGAAAAATCAGATTATTTTTAATTAAAAATATATTACTTAGAGGCAAATACCTGATTATGTTATCTTATTCAAGAGACTAAAAGTGGATATTTCAAAGAAAGAAGATAGTCTTCATGTCATTATTTTTATACGTATGTTTATCAGTCATGATTTAGCAGAGAGAGGAAGAAACATAAATAATTCCACAACCTTACACCTTTAATAGGGAAGGAAGTTGTCAATAATTTACTAGAACTCAGGTTTCCCAAATTTGTATTAGGTTCTGGCCATATCTTCATTTAGTTTTCCTTTTATTTGATAAATGTTAACTGGGTTAATTCAGAAAAATCTAGGTAGTACAAGGTGGCTAAGAGTATGTCCAGACAAAAATTCCAGTTCATTACCTTAAGTGAAACTGGGAAAGTCCTCAAAGAACCATATCATTGAGGTTTGGAATAAGTGTAAGTATATAATACAAGAATAAAATAAGTTTTCCATGAAAAGTAACTACAATAGCACAGACATGTCTATCATACCACAACTTCTTAAAATCCAAAAATGTACATTCAATACAACACAGTAATTTTTTTAAAGTTTCTTTGTTATTGAGGATCAAACCCAGAGCCTCATTCATGCTAGGGAAATACTCTGTCACTGAGCCGTATTCCCAGCACTTTTTATTTTTATTTTGAGATGATCCAGCCAAGTTGCCCAGATTGAACTTCAGCTTGTGATCCTCTTGCCTTAGTCTCCTATGCATCTAAGATTAAGTACTGGAAATTTCATGCAAAAAAAAATTCTATGTAAAACAAGTGCATTTGATTTATTTGATTATGTTTTTGTTTCTGTTTTGGTGAAACTTGTTATCCTTTCAAAAAAATAGTTTAAAAAAAAACAAAAATGGGTAACTCTGCTTATTTTCCAGAAATGAAGGACACTAGTTAGGAATTCTCCTCAGGTATCTTCAGAGGGAGGATAAGAGGGACAAAAGAGAGCCCAGGGTTGGGCTTGGCTGGGCTTATCTGTTCTTACCAGAACACAAGTTGACTCTCTCTTAGAAGTTCTGAAAATGCATAAATTACTTTTCTAACATTAAAAGTAAGCAATGGATTACAACATATAGTCTTTAGAAAACTTTGAACACTTAAATGAACAAGAACTAGAAAAAATAGAATTTTCAGATACAAAGAAAAAGCAAGTTCAAGGGGACTAGCAATATTATGAAGACAAAGTGTTTTCCCTGGTTTTAAGAATATAGTCATAAATCTTTTCAGGACACAGGTTACAGTATATTGAAAAATGCTTAATTCTGTATTTTTGTGAGTTGAACAGCTTATAGAGAATAAACGGTATATGAGTAGAACAGTAACAAAGTCAATATGAAAAGTTGATTTTCTGACTTTTTTTGTTGACCTTCTAGTATTACTAGGTTTGCACATTTTTGTAAGGTTTAAATATTTCCATAAAGACTTTCAACAACTTTTCTAAAATGATCAAACACAATACCAAAATAAATTTTCAAATGGACAGCTCTCACTATTGAGTATCTTTTCCTAAAAAATAGCCTGCATGAAAAAGATGGAAATATAAAAATGTTTGTTATAGGAATAGAGCCTACTTATTATTTATTTACTTATTTATATTTTATTTTTAAGGAAGGTTGATTATACTTAGTCCAAATCAGGAAGCACCTCTAGAAAACTTCCTGTTGGGATCTACCTCTTTTATTTCAAAATGAAAAATGTAGACATGAAATACATGTATTCATGTATTTCATGTATCTCTTAATACAACACTCAATGCAATTCACTCCAAGTCAGTATATAACATGATTGACGTACACAAGTTGAAATCCTGCAGAAGCTGAAAAGAAAAGTAGTCGCTGAAAATGTTCAGAAATTTTGCCAAATGCTTATTTGCCAGAATATCTGCTTGATAGAATTAGTAACCCTATTCCTCAAAAATCTCTGAGGAACAGTCATAGATCTTCCGAAACCCTAATTGAAACAGGCAAAGACATATACATTTGAAAGGAAAAAAAAAAATTCAGAATTAAAAAAAAAAATCTATATTTGAAGAACAGATAGAGTTTTATTAATACTAGAAGAAGCAATAACAAGATAATACTACTCCTATGAAGACAACATACCTAAAAAAGAGAAATTGTGTGCTTAAAAATTAGCACTAATATGGACAAGACAAGGCCTAAGAAATACATCATACATTGAAGTTATTTACCTATGTACTGCTGCCTGATTTGTGTTGGGATGTGCCTAACAGCCAAATGGTCAGATCAAGGTAAGGAAGAGATCAGCTGCAAAAGTTCAGAATCACAGCTTCCTATCTTACCTTCCACTGAGAAGGAAGCCGATAACCACTGCCAACAAAATGACTCCCACTGTCACAGACACAGCAATTATAGGAATCTGGCTTTGATCACTGGAGGCTGCAACTGCTGATAGGAGACACAGAAAAGGAAGCTTGTGGTTAAAGTGATCATATGTATTCAAAGTAAGACCTACTTAATAGTCAGTGATCAATTCATGGCTTAAGCAATTCACACACCCTTGGCCAAGGTTTCCCCATAATGTCTCTTCTCAAAAATCTGTAATTGAAAAGGCATCTTCAGGAGAAAATATTTACTCTCCAAATAGAAATTCAAAAGCATTACTAAGTCACTGACTATTTCCTTGTCATCATAAAAAATGAATGTATATTGTTTGCATAGTATTCATTGAGGGACCTAAGATTTACAAGATAAAATGGAACATCTTCAATAACTTTTAACATCTTAATCTAAATAGGACGGTATTAAGTATATGCAATTTGACATTTCTAGAGATTGATGCCACTGTTCTATAGAAAAAAATTCTGAGTAGATTATTCTTTTTTCTCTGAAAATCCAAAGTAATGTGACTATAACCTCATCAAAGTTAAATAAAATAGCAATATTAAAAATATAATATTAACAACATTATGTCTAGCAGAATATAATCATGAAGTATGTTTTATGAATAGGGTTACTTTTTGAAAATTATGAAGGCAGAAATTTTAAACTTTAGGAAGCCTATACTATTCATTATATTCATTTACATCACTTTTTGAAAAAGAATGGATATAGAAAAAATAATTTTCATTTGACATTCACATTCTTATCCCTTTTTTTTTGTCCTGATCTATACAGACACCATTTTGGACCAATCTTCAGAGCCAAATATTAATAACTGCTAATTAGTATAACTGCTATTTAGAAAATAAGTCTATGCCTTTACTTTCTCTTTTCTTCTGGTGATAATAGTTTCAATTCTATATCTCTTTACCTGGATTTCTCCTGTTCTCTAATGCTGAGATCACTAATAAATAATTTGGTTATTGTGGTGTAGTATAAACAGGGTAGGGAAAAATTATCCCATCACCCAGGATTTACTCTATTAATTTCTAACATTGGATTATTTGTACAATTGCTTTTCTCAGTTACCTATCTCTTCACTCACCACCTTCTCCCTCCACCCCCATAGAGGACACCAACTAAAGAAAACCATGCAGACTTGGTTCAATGTTATATAAGTTCAATATTAATTTGAATGGGTTGAAACTGCTGCTTGAATGCCCTTTATTCACTCTTTAATTTCCAAATAAAATCGCCTCCACAAAGACAGTATTTCTTATTTTCTCAGTGTGTTAATCTGTTCCCACTTTGTGCATTTTTAAAGGCCACACTTTATATAATAGAGTGTTCCGGTCATCTAGCATTAACCATCACTGTGTCTGTCATCTTGTTTTGCTTTACCTAACTACTTCTTTCTCTCCAAAGATCTTGGTTCTTTAAAGACTTTCCTTCAAGTGAGGCTATTTTTTCCATTATAGACTATTTATTTGCAACTTACTAGCCTGAGAATTATCTCCTTTTAAAAGGAAAAAGTAAATTATTTTATTTAAATATTTTGGTGCTCAACCTGAATTTGAAAAAAAAAATGTCCAACATTTAATGGACATATAGGCCAAGGAAGTTATTTTATCTTTTAAAGCCTCATTCCTTAATCTTCAAATAAAAATATTTTTTCTGGATCATTATCTTTCTGCTAAGATTAGAAATAATAATAGAAAACACTTAGCATAATGCTTTACTGACAGCCTTAAATACACAGTGAATGTGATTTCCATTTATTATCTCCTGCTTTATTTACCATTCTTATTATTTCCTATTTGTCAGCATCTTAACTGGGTTATATGGAATAAGCCTGATCTTGTGAAAAGTCAAGTTATTAAATTCTCTGTGCATCTTTTCTTCTGCCTTTGAGGTTCATTTATTGTTTTTTACATGATATTTGCTAAACTCAATTAGTGCTCATTTTACCTTACACAGTATTGTAATAAGAAATTTTACTCTATATAACATATATAATTTCATTGTAGAATCAGTATTCTTCTTGCTGCCTATGGCATTTGACAAGATGGTTTGGTTTTGCCCCTTTGAAGCACTGCTTTGTAATTTCTGTTGATTCTACATTCTCACTCCCATCTTCCAAGTGAGTGAACTTGCTGAAGACTCATTCCTGATCCTTCTCACCTCTATCTTTTTCTCTCCCTGCTTCTCTTTCTCACTCCCTTTCATAGATACTTCTTTGCTCAAGGCATCAGGTGACATGAAAAATTTGTAACTGCAATGCTTATTTCTCTCTAAAACATTGCTCTACTTTTCACCTTTCCCCCTCATTTGTATTTATTGCCACATAAGAATAATGTTTAATATTAAGGCCTATACTAAGTCCAGCCCCACGGGCATTAACTAAAACACATCAACAAATAAGACATGAATCAAACCAATAAACCAACTGATTTGATCTCTTTCTAGTTTAACTATATTAATTCTTTCTTAACCTGTACTTGTCCATTAATAACCAAACTTTTTTACATTCCTTTTGATGTACCTCATGTATCACTTTATTTTATCTAATTATTAATTTCTTTGATTCAAATCTATATGTTTAAAAACTTGTAAGAGTGTTTGTAGTATTTTTTTCTCTCCTCTGTATGTATATTAAATATCAAAAACCCTAACTTTGATTATGTTTCCCTGACCAAGATCTTATCCGATTCCTAGTACCTATGGAAGCACATTCCAAAATTTCCAGTCTAGCATTCAAAAGCCCTTCTAACCTGATGACAAGAAATATTTCTGGCCTCAATGTGACAATTTGGTAACCCTCACAGATATGGTTCTAAAAGAAGAAGGCATGATTAATCAGAAGTAGAGATAAAAATGGGAAACCTGAAACTAAGAAAAGTATTAAATTTGCAAACAAGGTTCCTGGTAGTGTCAAATGATTTATTTTTAATAATTGCCATTATTCAAGAGCTAATTATTAAATAAGAGCTAATTTAACAATGGGTTAAAATACACTTATGTATGTGAAAATGTCTTACATTATAATAACTAACATTATGCCAAAATTTTCAAATGTTTAAATCAATATATTTTGTGAAAGTATTGAGTAATTCTTATTAATGCTTAATTTTATAAGTATTTCTATGTTTTTATCTAATTTACACTGAAATCAGATTTTTTGTATAATATGCAATTAAAAAGATGAATAATTTTTAAAATACATTTTAATTTGTTAACTTTTTAATTAACAATTTTCTGAGTACTTTGGTGATTCTTAATTATTGAAAATTTCACTTGTAATGATTAATTTGTGAGATATTTCTAATAGAAAAAATTCATCAGGATTTTGTTTGCCCTGGGGGCATTAATACTATCATTCTTATTTTAACTAAGATGAAATGATAGAATTTACAGGGCTGTCAATTCCTTTACACTTATTTGGTGGTGGGAAAAAATTAGGTCCTATATGAGCCATGATTTCCATTTTAACATATTGTTAAATTTATATTCTTTAAAAATATGAATACTTAGGCATTCCTGTTTCCCATTTACTTAGGTATATTTGTTAAAAATTAGTCAATTGCTGATGTAATATTGAAAAAAGAGCTGAGGAATATTTCGAAAACACCGAGTAGCAAGGTTTGAAGTAATGCAACATACTATACCAAAATGTCTACCAGTTATAAAAATTAATATATTTTAGAAATTGTCACTTTTTATTTTTATTTTGTTTTAAAGAGAGAGTATTTTTTTAAATATTTATTTATTTATTTATTTTTAGTTTTCGGCAGACACAACATCTTTGTTTGTATGTGGTGCTGAGGATCGAACCCGGGCCGCACACATGCCAGGCGAGCGTGCTACTGCTTGAGCCACATCCCCAGCACTAAATGTCACTTTTTAAATCATTATTCACTCTCATTATTCCTGGGAACTTTCAGGTGTTGTATGTTGAGAAATCACATTTTTTACTTTGCATTGCTTCCTAGTTCCTGGTTGTAAACTTATATAATGCCTAAGTTACATATTGGAACACTTAATCATTAAAATTGAACAAACTTTTGAGAGCCAGATTATAAATGCTTTTGAAGACTGAGCTGAGAATTTGAGTATTTTTTCTCACAGCATTATTATCTACTCACTTTCTTCATCAGAAAAAAAAAATGAACAAAATTACAATTTTGACAAATAATATGAGTTCTGGAGTCAGGGGAAAACTTTAAAACAGTATGACAGTTAAATAAGCACATAGAAAGATGTTGAATAGCATTAGCTATCAGAAAAATTCAAATGAAAATCACAATAAGATATACCATCTACCTATTCAAAATGACTAGCAAAGGAATACATGGGGGCTGGGGCTGGGGCTGGGGCTGGGGCTGGGGCTGGGGCTCCTTGGTAGAGCACTTGCCTAGCATGTAAGAGGCCCTGGGTTCGATCCTCAACACCACATAAAAGTAAACAAATAAAATAGAAGTATTTTATCCAACCACAACTAAAAAATAAATATATAAAAAAATGAATACATCAAATGCTGATGAAGATGTGAAGAAACTGAATGACTTCTGTAGCTCATAGGAATACACAATAATACAGCTACTCTGGAAAAGAGTTCAGCAATTTCTTGTAAAACTAAACATATAATTATCATAATAGAACCAGTGATTATATTTTTGGGATTTAGCCCAGGAGAATGAAAATTTATTTCTACACCAAAATATGTACACAAATGCTCATAGTTGTTCACAAATGTTGATTGCAAAAGCAAATACAGGAATCAGACAGATGTTCTTCAAGAGATGAATGGTGAAACTAAAATGTGGTGCATATATACCACAGAATATCACTATGCAATCAAAATTAACAAATTGGAAGCATACATCAACATGTATTTATTGCTAGAGAATTATGCTGAGTGGGGGGAAAAATATTCCAAACTAAAAGTCACATTCCATTCATAAAAAGTTTTTAAAATAGCAAAAATGTTAGAAATGGAGGACAGATTAATGGATTCCATGTTTGTTTGTTTGTTTGTTTTAATGGAATAGAGTTGTTCCTTTAAGAAGTGGATATGAAGGGTTTCCATCATGTGTGCATTGGTTCAGTATTTTGATAGATACATGAACTCACACAAAGGACCAAATTGTATATAACTGAAAATACACATGTCCACAAACACTTCTATACAAAGAAGTCCAAAATAATGTGATTGAAAAAACAAAACAAAACAAAATAATGTGATTGATATCTGTGGATAGTATCAGTGTGAATCTCTTGGTTTTGATTCTACATTATAGTTCTGCAAGAAGTTACCATAAGGAGAAAATAACAATGTGCTTAATAAGTTCTTAGTATGATTGCATGCAATTGAATTTTAATATACACTTACCTCAAGAAAATTTCAAATAAAATCATAATAGCATTGTATCAGCATTTGGATTAAACAGATTTGAGTTCCATAGATAAAAAACAGATAGAAGAAAGTGATACATTAAAACTACAAAACAAACAAAAATGAGATTAGTAAATCTTGGGCAAGTAGAGATTAAGATTCGGTGAGAATTTCAAAGTTTTAAGACAAGTTAAAAGAAACTGAAAAAATGAATTAACTATTTTAGTTGACTGGTATCATTCATGGAAGGTTTATTTTTTGGTGTGTAAGTGGGGATAGGTGTGTATTCTCTTGGTCACTACTGTTAAGCATATGGATAATAACTAAAGTTTGGGAAAGAAAAAAATGAGTGGAGATTTCCTATCCCAAATTCTCATATAAAACAATATTTCCAAAATAAATATATTTGCAGTCCTGTTTTTACCACTATTTACACTTGGGTTTAGACCCATATTTTTTACTTAGAAGATAAATGGATAAAAGAGAAAAGTCTTCATAACAGTTTCACCTCTAGTAAATAAAGAAGTCAAGTTTTATAAAGACCTGTAATAAATTTTTAAATATAACCAAATGAATAACACGTCAGCGTTTTATTATGAATTAGTTAATTAAAAAATTATTTTTAAAGGTAATTTTGAAATAATATTCTGTCCTTATTTGAAAGATGAAATAGATTTTCTTTACCAATAATAACTCTTTAAAGCCAGTATTCTTAAATTTCAACAACAAATGAAAATCACTGATAAACTTAAGGGGAAAAATACAAGAGCATTTAAGAAACTATAATTCTTGTTTTGGAGATTTGGAGAACTTTTGGGGGAGGGGAAATAATATGTCAAAATTAAGTTATGATATTAAGTAAATGATGCACAATTAAATAATTGTCACAATTTCACAAAAGACTACAATAATTATTGTGAAGTGAAAGGCATAACAAATGTTACAGAAATTCTAAATGGAATTATCATGCATTTTCTCTGATTACCAAAAAACTACAAACTGTGAGAAAGAAGGGGCCATTACCTTACAAGTATTTGAATCACTCTCAATACTTTGAGCAAAAAGAATTTTGATATATAGGAAGCTGTGAAAATAATTTTTAACCAATAAACAAAATTATTCTAAAATGGGGTTTGAAGCAAATATTTTTTTTCTCTTAAACAGACTATATTTTTGTACTTTCAAGGGTAGTTCCTGTGTATTACTCATGTTGATTTCTCTGGAACCCAACAGATCCTATTATGTAATAGACGCTTATACAGTTGTGTTGAATTATATAGAAAGAATTCTCATGTAAAGATCAAACGAGAATGATATATAATACATACTTTCTACAAAATAGAAATGCCTTCAAATGCTTACATATATGAACACAAACTCAAGTAAAAGTAAGAATTTATACTAATAGCTGTGAGGCCATCAGCCCTAAAACATTGTCATTATTTATTAACAATAACATTAAATTCTACTTTTGTGGGAAAAATATTTGCATGATATTTCTTTTTCTCTAGAGAGGATTTAGAAAAAAATTTGAAAAGCATATGATCTCAGGTGAGACTTTGTAAAAGTATAACTGACCTGAATATATATTAGTTCTCTTAGTGCTCTGATTGATCAATGTTGGCATGCCTGGAAATGAGTATTTAATAAAAAAAAGTACAGGGTAGAAAATTGAAAAGTCAGAAGAAAAACTACTTCATGAACATCGCAACATCTACAACAGAGTAGAATTTAATATAAAATGAATTTTTCATTTGTATAGTTATCAAAGCATTCAAGCATATTTTGATATTATATATAGTTTTGTACCCAGAATTGGGAGACTACATAAGCAAGTGTGCATTAGTATTGATACCTTAAAAAATGAAGGCTTATTAGGATGGTCATCTTATATAACATGTCTTTTTTTCCATCAAAAATCTATTTTACATTGAAGGTAATATTATTACCAAGTCTATTGAGAAACTTTTCTGGAAGTTAAGCACTGGAGACTCAAATTTCAGTGATTTTAACTAGATATCAGTCATGGAATATTCTTTTGCATAGAAAAAAATAGTTTATCATTTTTATTTTATTTATTTGTTCATTTATTTATTGGAACTGGGGAGTGAACCCAGGGATACTTAACCACTGAGCCATAACCCCAGCTCTTTTATTTATTTCATTTTATTTGATATGGGGTCTTGTTAAGTCGCTTAGGGCTTTACTAAGTTGCTGAGGCTGGCTTTGAACTTGCAATCCTCCTGCCTCAGCCTCCCCAGCCACTAGGATTACAGACATGCACCAATATACCTACCTCGTTGATAATTTTTTCATGACACTATTCTCTTCCATTTACACTATTGAAAAAATTCTTTCTACATAATTTAGTTAAACATATTAATTAGAAATATATCTTGATTTTCTAAAAGTTATGAATATTTACTTTAATAATCATTTAATAATTAAAAAAGCAAACCAAACTAAATTCTCATTTTTGTCTTCTTCATTTTAAAATCACTAATTTTTACATAATTTGGCTTTAAAAAGTATATATACACACTCTTGACATTTTGCAGCATTCCTGTATGTTATTTTCTTTATAATGAAATTTTAATAGAATTCGTTCTTTCATCTATAAAAAGGTAAAGTTATTCATTTTTCCAATCTTGCTTTTATCTTTAGGATAAATTAGTAATCTCTATTTTTTTGTTGAAGTTAAAAGGAAAAAATATGCAATTTTGGGGAAAATAAAAGAATACCAAAAGAGAATTTTGGAAACATTTCCAGATTCTCCACTCTAAGATACTGCAAAATATTTAATAAATATATTTTTAAGAAAGCAGATAGGTTACTGAGAACACCATTTTCTTGCCAAATTCAATGTCAAGAAAGCTTTTCCAGGAATTTTCTTTTCTTAAACTAAAGTAGCATAGTTCAACAAAACATGTAAAAAGTAAATGGCAATAATTCAATAAAGTATGGCAGCAGTGGAAACAAAGTCTTTAGATGCAAGCTTTAAACATTTCTTAAGGATCTCCTGATATACCATGTCCCAAAGGACTAAATGCAATGAGGAGCGGGACCCCAAGTGTTAACCTGCTGACCTACCATAACAGCATGACAGATGCTTCCTACCTGAAGGGGTCATGCCTGGGAGAGAGGGAAGGAGAGTGAAACTGACAGAGTGCCCAGGGAGGGTATTGATCCACTGACTCTTTTCTGTTAACCATTACAGAGACATGAGTTGACAGTAATTAAAATGACTTACACACTGGGATGGTTTCAAACTCAAATCTTCGACTGAAGACACCATAGCCTGCTGCTGTACGTGCTCGAATTTGGAAGACATACACTGAAGCTGGTTTCAAGCCCTCTGCAGTAATAGTGGTCTCTTTCGATTTGATAATAGTGTAGCTGGTCTCTTGATCCTTGGATTGCATATGTACATACAATAAAAAATTCAACATATGAATTACTAATGACAAAACTTAGAAATGTATATTAGAAATGAACAAGAAACCAATGAACTTTCTATTAGCTCAAACCTATTTTGGAAAAATCTCATACACCCTCACTGTGTTATATATATAAATATGATCTTACAATGTTGTTGGAACTTGAGGTTTTGAAAGTAACATGCTTTCTACTCATCCATAATACATGCTCATGCCCTTGACAAAAACAATTTTTTAAAAATCTTAAAAGGCAATTTTGCAGGAGATTATTTCCAGACTTTATTTTATTATTATTAATGTATGCTGGTTTTTCTCAAAATGTATTATTGGAATGTATTTAACATGTTGCCTCTTCATAGAGGAAAACTGACAGTATTTCATATATGTTTAGTCTTAAGGTTTAAAACTTCAGTGAATTAAATTTTTAATTATATTTAGAGCTTAGGGGAGAAATTAGTACTGTAACGGAGAATTTTTATTTCAATTCACTCTGCCTAAATAATTAGCATTAAGGAAAACACTCAAATAAAAAAAAATGCTTTTTATTTTCCTTTTAAAAATTCTTATTGTATGCAAGGGGTATGGAAAATACTGAATGGAGATAGAGTAGAAAAGAAATGACTGGAAAAACAAGTTTGGAAGCTTAAACAAAAGAGAAACTCTCTATTTGGGCTACTCACAGAAGTCTACGCTAACCATCCAAAGCTCTCTGAGTTACTCATTGGCTTTAGAATAGATGTTGAAATCACTGGCTAAAATACAGCAGGTTAATTTTTACTTTTATCATCAAGTTTATTTATCTGTACAGCTTGGGGTAGGAATTGTTGCTTGTGTTTTCTCACATAAATGTTGTAAGAATGAAACACATAATATGTGTGAAAACACATAATATGTGTGAAAACACATAATAAACTAAAATACATGTTTTAATTTTCATAATTATTGTTTTAAATGTTTTCTCTTTTTTTCATAATTCAGTATGCCAAAGTTAATTTCTAGCCACTTTCTATACCACCACCAATACTACCTAAAGTAAACCACTTAGGACCTTTTTTTTTTTTTTAAGCAATTTACTGTTCCTTATTTAATATATTTAAGCATATTAAATATCTCAGAATTAAGTACACCCAAATAACTCTCTAAATAAGAATGGTCTAATTTCTAATTGAAATAGGTTTTTGAGTTCATACTAGACACATGGCTGATTTTACTTTTTTAATGCATAGATTAATTTAAGTGCCTAATCTTTTAAAAGCTTTGGAAATTTTATTTCAGTTTTGCAAGGAATTTCAAATAGGTAAATCCTACAGAATCCTGCAAAACTGTACCTCAAAATTTCATTTTTTCATCAACAAACATTTATTGATTTTCTTTCTCCTATCAGCTCTATTGTCCCTTCTACATGCTAGGATGACAGTAGTAAAAAGCAGATGATTTCTTGATGTGTTCCTTTTAAATACTGTAAATAGCTTTTATGACCTATTTTAGTTATTGATTGTTCTGAGAATACTCATATTCTTGACTCACTAAACCTGATAATATTGTGTACTATTTCTCAATATTATTCAGTCTAATATATGTCCCAGCTTGGTTATGATTAAAATAGTAGCTCTCAGTAAGAAATGATTAAATATCTGGTTATTGATATCATTTCCAATTGATAAAAGGGAATTTAACTTGGTAAAAAAAATCTAGTCACAAGTAATGTGGGATTTTTATAAAGTTGATATAATTATGGATTTTACACACAATGTTAGCACATATAATGGGAAGAATTTTTAAAAGTGCAGAAATAACAGTGTTAGAATTTCAGTCATAACAAAGTATATTTGCAAATGTGGGTACCAACTCTGGAGCCATTTTTTCTTCTTTACAGTGGTGATGAAACTATTTATCAAGATAACTGCGAGGAGATATGATAGAAATAAAACACATAGCACCAAGTATAATCTCCACAATATCATAGAATTTTTAACTTAATTTGGGTATTCTTAATGCATAAAATGATGGTAAATTCTTCTGCTGCAAAGGAAAAAAAAATCAAAACAAATTTTAAAAGCTTGCATGGTTGTAAATCCTTACTATTAAAGGTATAGTGAGTACATTTTCTAAAAAAATTTGGAATTATTAGTTTTGGAAAAAGGGAAACAGAATTACAAGAAAAATGTGAAATAATGTGAGATGCAATTCAAATTTCACAAAAAGACAACATTCTGGTGTTATTTAATTATTAACGTTATATCTCAATTGTTCCTTATCTAGAGTATAATTGTACATTGTCTTGCTGAGTTAGCTGAATGCAACTATTAAAGAGAATTGAGCAAAACATATATCTAAGAGAGCAAGACCAATGAATACACGTTATTAATGATCTAAATATCTTGAAAATTTCTTTCTGTTTCACTCCTTTAAAATACTCTTATGTTATACTTTTCTTCATCTCACAAATTCTGTATATACCTCTTCAACACCAACAAGTACCAGGCTTCCAAATCCCTGGTTAGGGCATTGGCTTTTGCTGCCTTCCTGCCACAGCTGAGCAAATGAGCTACATTCTCCAGCTGCTTAGCAAACACTGTTCACATGTAGCAAGGGGAGGGACTCAGCACAAGGAGCCAGCTGGCAAACACCCTGCTAAGGGGCAGTTTCCCTTCTCCTCTGCCTTTAATTAAAGGATGGCAATAGGCCCATTACCACACCAGAGCAGAGAAGCCCAGTGACCTCTATTAGAGCAAGGCAATCACAGGCAGAAATGCCAGCTGGCAAATGCATGTGCCCTGGAAAGCTCTGCCACCTGTGTCTGGCCAAAAGCCAGTCAATAAAATGGTGGTGTCATTTTGAAGGTTCTAAATGAGCTCTGGAAATCTACCAAGACCCCCACCTCAATACATGTTATAAAAGCTCATTATCCTTGTATTTTTTTTTCTTCTTTTTCTTAAAAGTGTTTTTTTTTTTTTTTTTAATCTTTTTGTGTGTACATGGGTGTGCTCAGTAATTTGGCTTGATCAAAGAACAAAATCATTTTAAAATAAATATAATCTAAAAATAAATTTGATCTCTAAAGACAATCATTCCTCCACATGGATTAAATACACTAGAAGAAATATTAATAGAAAAGGAATCCTGCCTATCACTTGTTGATTAACTCTTCATTCTTATAGAAGCAGCAACTTGAAGAAAAAAAAGAGGGCTAAATCCTTGTTCCTTCTGAATATCCAATGGAACATTTTATATATATGGTGGGAATTGGTAACAAAAATAATACAAGTTTACTAATAAGAGGAAAAAGGATGATTTCTTATTTTTGGCATAAAATAAGCCATTCATTAGTCCAGTTGGTTGATTTACTAGAAAAAAAATGGAGGCAAACAAAACCTTTGTCTTCCTATTGTTAAATTTTCTTTCATCTAAGACATATGGATATATTCAAACACAGAGTTTTTGCCATTTAATTGTTTTAAATTTTTATGATACATTTCAGCTTTCTTGAAAATTCACTTTAATAATAATTAAAATTTTAACTTTAGAGAACATACAGCTGAATTTAACATGTGTTCACAAATATATGTATATGTGTGTGTATAAAATTATACATACCTTTTCATTCTTATAGAGAAATAAGGCTTACAAAAAATTAACTAGGGAATATAAATGTAACATTAATTTTACAAATTATTTTTTAATAGAGTAGTATTTACATTGTAAGTCTCTGAAAACTGTATGCTGATTTTGAGTACAATCTCAGAGAAAAAGGAATCAGTCAGGAATATTAATGTTACTACATTCTACTACATTAATTCCATTTTTGTCAATAAGAAGCTTTGTAAACCATATCTCAATATAGGTTGTTATATAAGTGTTCTCTTAGAGCACTCTTAGTGAATAATACATCTGGGAAACATATTTTTGTGAAATTTAAGTATCATCATTTATACTCCCCAATGATCTAATGTAGGTAATTCTATTATTAAGTTATTTGTAAAAAGATGATTATTTCAAAAGTAGCAATTGACAATTCATTTATTAACAAAATAAATATATGGGGGCTGAGGATGTAGCTCAGTGGCAAAGCAGTTGCCCAGCATGCGTCAAGCTGGTTTCGATTCCCAGTAGTACAAAAACAAAACAAAACAACTAATGAAATTAATATATGAACATTGCTGAGGCATTCAAATTATAGAAACTACATGTAGATAGCTCTCCTGCTCCCTGCCCCCTATTACTGTTTTATACTTTGTTGTGTCTTTTCCTAGTTAATTGGTGAATTTATGAACAAAGGAAGCAGTTTTTAAAATCTTTATAGTACTCTGAGCAATTAAAATTTGACATATTTACCTGAACCCTTTTTCTATGCATATGCCTAAAATCTTAGACTTTTAAGTTGTTTTCACTAGTGTTCTATATGATGATGAAAAGAACTACTGTCCTATCCCCACTTTTTTTCCATTATCCTAAGTTGAGCAATTTCCTTGAGTATTGTTGAGTAACTTTTTGTACTATCTCCTATTTTCTTTGTTCTTTCCTAAAAGGTAAGGAGTGATGTCTCTGTGCTTTTGGGGGGAAAATGAGCTTCTATTTGGGGATCTATTTGTTCACACTATGTCTGTGTTATTTTCTACTCGTATTTCAATTGAAACAGCACTCTCTGTTCAAGGTCTCCAGTTCACCTCTTAGAAGCTGGTTTGGGTACATATATCTAGCTCTTTCCCCTTTGTTAAAATTCAGGTTGTTCTAAGGAATATATGTCATTCAGTTCCAGGCTGTGCAAAACTCACACTATAATAAGGTGTGGTGGAAGACTAATGGTGACTACATATCTTGGTCACATACTCTTGTCCAACTTTAGAAGTTTAAAGTTTATCTTTAGCTCTCATCCATATGATTCCACTATCTATAGCTTACTTGCTTGTGGATTCCAAAAAGAAGAACATGATTACTATCCTTAGATCTCAACAATTAACTATGAAATACAAAACAGTGAACCTAGGAGAGAATTTAGGGAAAGAGAGGAAATCAAGAAAATATAAGGAATGTAAGAAATGCATTTCTAAGAATTTAGTAGCCTCAAATTTTAATGTAAGGTTTACATGACAGTGTTAGATACATGTTAGGAGATTGAAAAAATTCTATGTCACCCATGCCTCACCTACCCAGCCATCCTTAACCATATAGTATTGTGGCAATTTACTGGCTGTCAGTACACACAGTATTTCTCATAGCATGCTGCATTTGCTACTGAAAAGCAATAGCTTAAGAGCATTCAACACTTTCAAAATGTCCTATGATTTCATCTTTCATGGGCTGTGAAAGTAGTTAAGCTAATGCTAGACTATATGGGGGTATCCAGGAGCATAAATTACTTGCTGCAGAACATGAATAGAGTGCTCCCTGTACACATCTAGTCTCAATCATCATGACTGCAGAATCAATTGTCATTGATTTACACGTAAAAGTGCAACATACTCTTCTACAAATTGGATAATTATGGTTGCTAAAATGGAAAAACAACGGAAAGGGCATTTTTAATTCTGTTATTCCCACCTTCTCAAAATATTTAATTTCATACTCCAGGATGATTCCATTGGGGCGATCCGGCTCTTGCCAAGACAAAGAAATGCTGTTTTTTGCAATTTTCCCCTTTTTCACATTGGTGACTGGAGAGGGGGCTGCAAAAGAATATAAATAAAGAATATCATGATTAATACAGCCCTGAAATATAACCTCTTCTGTGTATTATATGTATTATCATTTTAGGATATCATATCATAAAAATCACAAATGATTAAATTTACTTTTAATCTGGCAACAATTTGACTTTCTCTATATAAGGTGTTAAAGATTTCCAGGTGTAGTACACACTTGTAATCCCTGAGGTTTGGAAAACTGAGGTAGGAGGATTGCAAGTTCAAAGCCAGCCTTAGCAATTTAGCAAGGCCCTAAGCAACTTAGTGATACCCTTCTCAAACTGAAAAATAAAAAGGGTTGGGGATATGACTCAGTAGTTAAACGCCCCTGAGTTCAATCCCTGGTACCAAAAAACAAAATAAGATTATTAAGTGTTTTACAAATATAAACTAGCTAACCACCTTGTGAAGTGTCTCATAATAAAACTGTAGGAACATAGAATTTTAGGTCTTCATTATCTCAATACATTTCAGAAAGACATATAAAATAATTTACGTTTATATACAAAAAAGACCTTATGTATCTTCTGTTTCTAAAATTTATGGACTCTTTTTAATGTATGGACTCTGCATAATACAGATGTATGATTACCTGTATTACCACATTTTCACAACGTTAAAGCTCTTGAACATTTATTATTATAATATTGGGTCCTGTAGTTATAAATAAATTCATATATTAAATCTAGTCAAAGTTTTCCTTAAAATGTTACTAAATATGCCAAATATCTTGAAATCAATAACAAATAAATGATTTCTTTGATTTTCACTCCCCCTCCAAATTACATTATATCACACTAACTTGCAATGTTAATTATTATCTGCTTAGAGTCTGAGATAACTACTTTTCTAATAAAAGTAGAAAATGTGTATGGGATTTCACATACATTTAAGATATGAGAGTTCACAAAACATCTGGATCTATGAGTCAATGTCCATTTTTTCAATCTGCTGAGACTTGTATAGACTTTGGGTTTGATGCAGTAAAGAATTGAATAATATCTTTTCTGATGTAGGTTTACCTTTATTTTTGTAGGGTTTACCTTTTATAAAAGACACAGGAAAAACTATCATAAACTATCAGATGTGTATGTTTATATGCAGTCATCCCTCAGCATGCACAGAAAATTGGTTTCAGGACTGCAATCAACAACATGCACTGATGAGCAAATCCCTTATAAAAATGGCATATAGTATAGTTATTTGTCACACAACAATATTTTGGTCAATGATGATACACATATAAGACTGGTCCCATATGCTTGTGTTGGCTAGTGAATCCATAGATATCTTAGTTTATGTTAAATACACTCTTTGATGTTCACATATTACAAAGTCACTAAATGATGAATTTCTCAGTTCCCATTAAGCAGCACAAGACATTTACATATAACATACATATATCCCATATACTTGTCTTATCTATATTTCTTACAACATGTAATAACATGTAAATACTATATAAATAGTAAACATTCTATTGAAACATTCTATTGCTTAGGGAATAATGACAAAAATCATCTGTACATGTTCAATGCAGATGCTTTTTTTTTCAAAATATTTTCAAGTCATAAGTTGAAAATGATTGAATCCAAAGAAGTGGAATTTATTGATATGGTGGGTTGACTTTATGTGTTCATGTGTGGATAGAAAGACAGTATTTTTTATAATGTAAAAGATGTCAGCCACAGTGAGTATTATATAATCAGAGGAACAGCCCCATCTAAGTAGTAATGAACACCTGGTGAGTTTAAATTATGTAAATACACACACACAAACACACTTCTAACTATTTTGCTTTTTATTAGCTTTGTCCAGACAAAATAACACACTGTGATTTGTCATATGCAATTTTTTTGGACATTTCCAGAAAACAATCTAGAGGTACCACTCTAGGAGACTAGAGGTACCACTTAGAACAACAGACTGCAAGAACAATGTTTAGAAGTAATGTATGTTAGGCACAAAAAACAACACAGTTAACGTGGGATGGGGGAGAGGCTGATTATTTTAAAGCAAAAGAAAGATCATTTCACCCTCTACTTAAAACCCTCCAGTGATTCTGCATCAACTAAAGAGGAAACCCAGATGTATAGTGTGTACAAGGATCATGGCTGCCTGGTCCCAGCATCTTCTTGGCTTTGACCTCTTGCTGTTCTTCACCAGCTCTCTGCTCCATGCTCTGTGACTTGCAGTCCTGCCACACTCCTGCTGAGGGATATGTATACAGGGCTTTCCGGATTTTAGAAGTGCTCTCCCCCAGCTTCTCATGGCTCCCTCCTTCACCTCCACTGAGTTTCTGAGAGGTCATTCATGTCTACTCAACTTACTCTAGTAAGTGTCTCTCATCTCCCATCACCTCTACATTCCTTTTGCTCCTTTAGTCTTCTTTTTCTCCATAGCTGTTATACATCACCACCTGACATACTATATAACTTAAGTATATTTTTGTTTGTTTCAATCCTTCCAACTATAATATATTTGATAAGGGCAGAAATATTGATTATTTTGTCCACTCTTGAATCTCTAGCATCTAGAACAATGTCTAGGACAGAGAAGATGCCAAAGAATATGTACAGAATGAATAATTTATGAATAATTTTTGTCATTTTTGATCAATGACAACAAACTCAAAAATAAATTTTGAGTAAAATATATTTCTTTCAATGAAAATACATACCTATGTATAATATGTAATACAGCAATATTTAAGTATAGTAGTTAATGTTTTATATACCAATTTTTATTCTTTTAATTTCAGAGAATGGTGACATTTTGGTGCAGAGAATGCACATTCTCAGCTTTGTCTTCTTTTCTTAAAATGTCAGTTTCACAAAGTTTTTTTTTAATATTATAGGACACAATGTGTGCGTAAAAAAAGTCCAAATAGTCCATATGCAGTATTGAAATGCAGTTTGTTTACTTCAATGGAAACAATAATTGACTGGCAGTTCTCACAGTAACATTCTAGTATAAATTTGAAGTTCCTATTGATTCCCAGTGAGGATAGTCATGCCCTAGTTAGCATTAAGGATAAAGCATCCAAAAAAAATATGGCAAAAGGTTAAGAATAAGCTTTGGACCCCTGGTCCATTGTAGCATTTGTAACAAAATAGTAAATTTACCAAAGTAGTAAGAGAGGATTAAGGAGAACAATGGGTTTTTTTAATGGATTTGTTCAGGAATTAATTATCTTATTTTCCTATTACCACTGTATATTTATTGCATTATATAGTAGTGTAAATACAAAGCAAACCTAAGTCTTCAAAGTTCTTTGCTCACTTTACTAAAATACAAATATCATTTTAGATTAGCACATTTCCTAAAGATAGCAGTTTTCAACTAATGAATTGAAGGTATGGCCGATTTTCTATTCATAATAAAAACATTAGAAATAGAAAATTATACTCAACATTATGATCCACAAAGGCAGGGGCTTATTTAGTTTAGTTCACTGTTATGTGTCCTGGGGTAGAAAACTGCTTAACATACAGATATTTAGTAAATAATAAAGTAATGGATAGATGATTGAATAAATGGCATATATATACATAGTATTACACAAAACTCAGTTTATTTCATCTATAGATGCACATATTTTAAAAATTGAATCAATGCTTTCATCAAACAATCAACCATTCCAAAATGAAGCTATCAAATAAATATCAACACAGACATCACTAGCCTAAGGTGAAATATTTTGATATTTACTTGCATCCATCAATGTTAAATAAATTATATAGCTTTCAAAAACTGTTTGATTTAACAAATGCCATTGTTTTTCAAATTCAGTTTTCTCAGAGGCTAAAAATGTCCTTTAAAATAATGGTTCAGAATGGGAGAATAACATCACTTCTGAGCTCAGAATAGTTCAGAATAATTTCCTCTGTGACAAGAGCATCTTTGCATTACACGGGTAAAGCTTATCAAAGTGGGGACACTGACAGCCCCTGGGGACATAATGATGATGCACAAATTGTGAGTGGCAGCAATCCTCTACCACTGCAAGGTATTTTATAGGTATCATGCACATTACAATAACTGTAACCAGATTTGTCAGCATCAAGGGGCATGTTCAATTTATCTTATTTGCCTCCCTCACTGATACCTTTAGCTCATTCTCTGCCCACTCAACCTTTTATTAAGGAAGACTGGTATCAAATGAGAATGATGACTTAGAACATTTCTGCTTGTAAAATGTTGTAGAATGATGTCAAATCATAAAACTATTACTGTCCCTATGCAAGAAGATGGGAAAATTACTAAAGAAATGAAGTTGTGGAAATAACAAAATAGTTTATACAACTCTGAGTTGCAGCTTTTCCATATGTGAAAATATTCATGCTGGAATAATATAGGAGATACTGAAACTTTAGGAGAGTACCAGTCTCTGCTGTGGAATAATTTTGGTCCAATTTTTAAATAAACATTTAAATTTAGAATATTCGTAGAAAAATAAAAAAAATGGTAAAGAATTACTATATACTTCATGCCTAATGTTCCCTATCAATAAAATTTTATATTCATACTATATATCTCTCATCATTACTAAACCAACATTGATATATTAATAGTAACTAAAGTCAATACATTATTCACATTTTCTTAGCTGTTACAAAACATCCTTTTTTTCTGTCCCAAGATCCTATCCAACATACCACATTAGTCCTCAGTTTTACTTAGGTTCCTCTTGGCTCTGAGAATTTTTGAGATTTTCCTGGATTTGATGATCTTGATACTTTTGGGGAAGACTGATGAGGAATTTTGCATACCATCTCTGAAGTGAGATTAATTTAATATTTCCTTAATATTAGAACTGGTGTTGTGAGTACTTGGGGGAAAGACCAAGGAGGCAAATTGCTATTCCCCTTGCTTTATAAAAAGATGACATACCATCATCATAACATCACTGGTATGTTAACTTTAACCATATAACTTAAATAGCATTTATGAGATTTCTCCACTGTATTTATCTTTTTTCT